AGGGCAAAAGACATGGTTTTTAATCTTGCTTCTAACATCAACGACAGGTCCTTATTCAAGTCACTAAAAGTCCCAGTACCTCAATTTCTCCACCAATAATGTAAAATAATAATCAATCTCTAGAATCCCATCAGGCTCTGAAAGTACATATTTTTATGCTATACTGTATTTCTCCAGTAATGTATGCACTGTTTTAGCTATTTAATGATACAATTTTATTTATTTATTTTACTATTATGATTTTACTTTATTTCCTACATGGTCAAACTGGGTCATCCTTGGAGATGCCCTTGAACCAGTAAAGGCTGGGGCCATCGGAGTGGATGGACTTGAAACAGGTTATCAGGGATCCCCTAGTATTCCTATTCCTGCATTTGATAGCCAGGCTTGGGTTGGACTGTTTCTCAACCTTTTGTCCCACTTATTTAATGATATAATTTTAAATGCCTGGCTTTAATTTGCAGGTGGCACGGTGTTGGTGCTGCTCTTATCCACCATTCTGTTTTGTCCCCTACTCCTCTCTAAGCTAAATGTCTCCTGTTCCCAGAGGATAACCTCTTCACCCTTCCATCCAGCCTAATGCTGGCTACTACTGCTCTGTCTCTATTTGCTCACCTCCCCTTAATAGAAGCACTGCAGGAGCATAGGTTGGTACTCTAACCCATAGGCATATGTTTTAGGCTACAGGAGCTTATTTGCCATACAGAATTCTATTAATGGCAGCTCTCTGTTCCTTACATTTCCCACATTTAGAATATATTGATAGTTTCCTAAGGATGGCCCTGAAGTACCATAAAATCTGGGGTGCCTCTGAAATCATCAAAAATTAAATTATATTTAATAGATATATTTGGTCTATTCCATAGCATTCATGCAAAATGGATGGTCACAGGTGGTCTTCATTAAATAGGTATTAATTGAACAACTTTGGAGTGAAGAACTGAACGATCCAGGGTTTGCCTCCAATGGGCTCACTGTCTAGTGAGGTAGATGCCAAGGACACAAGGAGTTACGATGCTGTAGGAATGCTGTGATAGCAAAAGGCACAAGAAAAGAACGTGAGCCGGGGGAAAAGCACCCCCTCAAAATTCCCTTCTATGCAACAGCAATTTCTTTTGTGGAAACCGTAATGACAGTTCATAATTAACTAGATTTTGGTGAATAACAGTGGGCTTAATGAGAACATAGCTAAGTTAGACATCCCCTAGGGAAACACTCTATGTGAACAGACACAATTTCCTATCTCTTGTTTACCCTGTCAGGAAATTACACAAGACTGGTCTTGCAATTTGAACTTCGGAGGAATGTCCTGTATTTCATTTTGGAAACCTATGTTCCTTCTACTTTCCTGGTGGTGTTATCCTGGCTTTCGTTTTGGATCTCCCTTGACTCAGTTCCTGCGAGAACGTGCATTGGTAAGCAGCTCCAACAGGAGATTTCTGAGACCTGGGTTATCATGTTTTTTTGTTTGTTTGGTTGGTTGTTTTTTTTCTTTTTTCCTTCTACTGTTGTTTACATTGACATTCACAGGGCAGTTCCAGGAGTTGGTTTCTTGAGAGATTCTTTTACAGGGAGAGAAAAAGAAACGGAGAGTCAGAGAAGGAGAAAGAGAGACAGAGAGAGACTATGTTAGGAATAGCACATTTTTAAAACTTATGTATTACAGTGACAGGTAAGGGGATATTGTGATTAGATGGTCTTTTGTCAGTTATTTCGCATACTGGTCATTCCCCCTCCAAGGAGAAGACAGAGGTGAAACATTTAGAAAACCACATCACCCGGGCCGACCCCGGGCCTCACTAGGGAGAGTGCGGTGCTGGGAGCGCCGAGGCCGTGGGTTCGGATCCTGTGTAGGCATGGCCGGTCCGCTCACTGGCTGAGCGTGGTGCGGGCGACACCAAGCCAAGGGTTACGATCCCCTTACCGGTCACAAAAAAATGAAAGAAAACCACATCACCCATATTAGTACAAAATGGACAAATCAACCTTATTCCGGAAGGTCACAGATTTTTCAAAATAAGATATGTTCCATTTCTGAGTTCTGTCCTCACCCTGCCACGCGCGAATGGAGACTCTCTGTCGGGTAATGGTAATTAACTGGCCGCCAATGTGGCAACACTTTCTGCCTGTTTTCCCAGGAGTGACCACCGTGTTATCAATGACCACATTGATGATTGGGTCCCGCACTTCTCTTCCCAACACCAACTGCTTCATAAAGGCCATTGATGTGTACCTGGGGATCTGCTTTAGCTTCGTGTTTGGGGCCTTACTGGAATACGCAGTTGCTCACTACAGCTCCTTACAGCAGATGGCAGCCAAAGATAGGGTAAGAATTTTGAGGGCCCTGTATGTGATCCATCACTTGAGCCATGTGCTGGTCTGTAGAGATGAGGGGGACCTGGTTCCTGTACCCCAGTGATTTTCTTTATTGACTTTGTTCCAATGAGTCTTATCCTTGTTCAGGCGTATGCATCTGGAAGTCATCGTGCCCCTTGAAAAAGACCATTCTTTTCACCAAATACGATGGGATATTAATATGTTTAATTTCCCAGCATAAAATAACTATGCTATCTGCATGCAACACAAAATCACAACCACAAGAACAAGCATCCATGAAAATTCAATATCAGACCAAACATGATCAGCTGCTAATAAGTTTCAGATTAATATGCATTTACTCTTTAATTATTTTGTTAACATTTTTGTATTCTTAAATTACCGAAGTAATGGCTTACTGAAAAATGTGTGGAAAAAGTTAAATTGTGACAAATTTCTTGGTTAGCACATTTTTCTGCTAATTGGGAAATACTGCCATTATTTGTTTTAGCAGTGGAACATCGTGGTCCAGCTCTCTGAATAATAATAAAGGTTATTATTTATCTAGCATTTACATGTGCCAGGCACAGCAACAAGATTTTTGCAAATATTATATCATTTAAAATGCTCATAACAACTCAGTGAGGTTGTTATTTCCATTTTTATAGTTGTGGAATCTGAGGAACAAGAAGAGTAAGTGACTTATCCCAGGGGATACAGACAGTAAGATATAGAGCTGGGACTCCAACCTAAATCTGCTTGGCTCCAAAGTCTGACACATCTGTTATTCCCACTTGTGGTGGGCAATGGGCCATGCTCTATTATTCTTTATAGGGCCCATGGAACCCTAGGGTTATTTGGAAGCCAGATTTGATAGATATTGGCATACTAAAGCTCATGCTATCAAGCAAGAAACTGGTAGGGATTTAACTCAGTAGGAGTCCTATAAGGTACCAGGACCACCCAAGGTCTAATAGTGAGGAAATGAAGAATCAGAATAGCCAAAAGACCTGGTTGCTTTTTCCCTGTGTTTGGCTATTGTGAGCAATGTTTCACACAGTCATATTTTCCAAGCACCAAAGGCAGCTGATCATGTGTGCCAGCCAACAAAGAGTATGGATTTCATTTATTTTTCTTCCTGTGGGCTTCCTCAAAAGGAAAGAAGGAATTTTAATTACTCCCCCCAAAATCTGGATTTGCTAGACTGGCAAAAATGGGGTTGGAGAATTAACTGAGATCCTCCACTAGAAACATCAGAATGCCCTTCTTTTGGTGTGTGCATAGTAATAGCTGCACTACGGAGGACTTGCTATGTTCTAAACTTCTAGCAACATCTCCTTCAATCCACTCTGAAACCCAATGAAATGGGTACCCTTATTATCCCAATTTTACTGTTAAGGAATCTGCCACTCAGAGAGGTGAGGTAACTCATTCAATACCCCACACCTACTAAGTGGCCTGGCCAAGGATCCAGACCACACTCTCTATGACTTCACTACGCTCCCCACATTCTTTGTCTCCCCAGCCATGTTGGAGAATGGCAATTCCCTGGAATCACAGGTAGCATCACTATTTCCGTTTGTGCGGCAAAGACCTCAAGATACAGCTGAGGGCCGGCCCGGTGGCGCACTGGAGAGTGCGCCACCTGGGAGTGCGGTGGCGCTCCCGCCAAGGGCTCGGATCCCATGTGGAGACCGGTTCCTGCTCACTGGTTGAGCGCGGTGCGGGCGCAACACCGAGGGTTGCGATCCCGTTGCCAGTCCCCAGTGCGGGCGCGACACCGAGGGTTGCAATCCCGTTACCGGTTGGTAAAAAAAAGATAAAAAGGAAAAAAAAAAAAAGATACAGCTGATTTCTCTTATTTCTCATAACCAGTTACTCTCTTCAAACACTAGATGCTTTGCATCATTGATACCATGTAATCTTCCCATCTCAAATAGGTATTAATATCATCACCATTTTGCAGGCAAGGAAATTGAGTCTTAAAGGGATTAAGGTGACTAAAGTTTCACAATAGTGAGAGGCAGAATGGGATTTGAACCCAAGTCTGCTAACTTCAAAGCCATTTGGCATTTAGCACACTGCTCTGAAATATCTAGAGCAGGCAATGGTTATTCTTCCCATCATACATGCTGATCACCTATGGATAGTTGCCTACAGACAGGATAACAGGACTCCACATCTGGCTTACTAGCCCGTTTCTGAGACTCACAATGCCACTCTCTATTAAACCTAATTATTCAATACTTGAGCCTCTAAACTTTTCATTAGCTCATTACCTACTTATTTATTTTGTTGAGTCAAGTCTTATAAGCTAACTGCATTGTCTGTGAACTAGGGGACAGCAAAGGAAGTGGAAGAAGTCAATATCACTAACATCATCAACAGCTCCATCTCCAACTTTAAACGCAAGATCAGCTTTGCCAGCATTGAAATTTCCGGTGATAACGTAGACTATAGTGACTTGACAATGAAAACCAGTGACAAGTTCAAGTTTGTTTTTCGAGATAAGATGGGCAGAATTGTTGATTACTTCACAATTCAAAACCCCAGTAATGTTGATCGATATTCCAAATTACTGTTTCCTTTGATTTTTATGTTAGCCAATGTATTTTACTGGGCATACTACATGTATTTTTGAGACAATGTTGAATTTTTTGCATGCCATATGTTTTCAACAGAATAAGGTAATGATGTAAATGGTAATCTAAGCTAAGTGTGCACCCTAACCCAAAGGTGTTACATGTGACTAAAATAATATTTGAGCATTTCTCCTTAATGAATGAACACCCAACCATTATTCTAAGCTTTGTAGAAATCCTAGCATTACAGGATCTTATAATAGAAATATCAGCCCATTCCTCTTTCATCTTTGTAAAGGACATCCCATGGAGCCTAAGATTATAGACCTACTTGGGGCTGACTATTCGTTCAGTGGCTCCCTAGTCTGCATTTACCTCATATAAAAAATGGGAAAGAGACTGTAACGTGTATTGTGTAACCCTCAAGTGTCAGGGGTTGTTTCTAAATTAATCATGCGTGCTATTTACCAAATTTCTGCAGTGCTTATAAAATGCATTGCTGCCTATTTAAGGAGTAACATTTTCTAGTTTTTGTTTTTGATTAAAATGAAATTTATATCAATTCATTGGAAGTCACTTCACTAACTCAATACCAAAATAACTTTTTAACAATGATTGTTATTTAATACCATAGCAGAATTGTCCCCAAATTCCAATAAGTCCTGTCATTGAAAAATCAAATGTAAGTGAAGAAAAAGTTAGTGGATCAATAATCTCAAGCATAAATCTCTTGTTTCTAAGACATAATGGATTCTCCAGACTGGAAGGACTCTGGGGCTTTATTTCCCCATTATACGTATCTTATCATTTTACTATGATGTGCGTATCAGTCCTAAACAATGCTCAAGCCCTTTTCCCACAACACGGATTTTTTTTTTTTTTTTTACATCTGTAAGTCTTAATATGGACTGTTGTCATAAAGACTTGCAGAACCAAGTCCATTTTCTAGCTACCTTTATTCACATACTGATGAAGTACTAAAAGTACCAGGTTGACACAGTCAGAGAGTCTCCTGCCGTACTGTCATTTCTGCAACTCTGACACTGCTCAGCATTCTCCAGGAAGATTCCCTGCATCCTTCCAAGAAGAGCTTCTATCCCTGTGCTCTAATGACCAGGAATGATGCTTATTAGATAACGAGCTGCATTATCCAAGAATAAGTGGCTTAGCTCAAGTATGCTTGGCCTTGCTCAGATCCCTGATCCTTCTAGCTGGACTACTTTGAGTGGCTTATCCTGCATGAGCAGGAGAATGTTGGCACTGAGTCTTTAACTTTCTGAGTAACAATGAAACATGCTATGGAAGCTATCTTTAGGCTGTGGGTGAACTGTCTTCTCCAAGTCCAGCCAGTCTCGCCCTAACATAAGAAGCTCAAGTATGCATCTTTCCCTTCTCCTTGGCCAAGCCCAGCCAACAGCACCATGAGTGGTGATTTGTGAGTGTATCAGGTAAAGGCTTCCAATTCAGCCTCAAGTACTTTAAAGAATTTTGCCATTAGCTTCCTTTTCTAATAAATGCATGGCTTTACTCTTCCTTTTGGAAATAAACTATGGCTTTAGAAGATCATTTCTGTTCTGTAATGCCCTATATACATAGGATCTCATTCTTTTTCCCATCAGGATACTCTTCACAATTCAGTTTCTATGAATTTGATCACCTGATCTTTAAACAAAATGTTTCTAATGGGAATGGGGGGATTAGAAGAGGTGGAACATAGTTATATAGTTTAATCATATTTGTGATTAAAAAAAAAGATTTAAAAGGAATTCTAAAACCCACTTAAGCATTACATAAGGACAACTGTTAAGGTGTGAAACTGTGAAATAAATATACCGTATTAGCTACCCACCAAATCAAGTGGTCATTTATAGAGTGAATGTTGTAAGACCCTGTTTGGGAAAGGTTTATATCATGCAATCTCAACGGGCTCACACTCTTCCTCCCTCATGTTCCCCCCCCCACCCAGATAGTACACTGACATATTCACACACACACTCGTAGTGCTATTTCCTACCAAGAAAAATACTAGTAAACACTGGTGACACAGTTGATGTTTTTCTTTGACATCATTGCACTGCAACACTTGCCTTGCAGTTAAACAACTGGGCCTGGTGACACTGAAATATACAATTCTCAAAAACTGTCACAGATTCTCTTCTAAGCCTTCTTTATTGTTTTTGAATAAACAAATTTTCTTTTGTTTTTGTTAAATGATATTTTTATAGTTTGAGAATACACTTTTGGGGGGAAAATTCTCAGATTTTGTCCCACTCCCACTTTATATAGGCTGCAACATTAGAGTTCTCAGTAAAAATTCCTGATATTCTGGATCTGTCCTATTACCTAGAGCAGGCCCAGGACTTGGTTCATTCAATATATTTATTTCTTAGGTGAAAATATCAAGACTAACCTCATCAAATTTCCCAAGGATTTGAAAACTAGGTGGGGTTAGAAATATTCTAAGTTATGGAAATATAATTTTTAATTACCTTGATATTGAAAATAGCAATAGTCTCAATATAGGAAGTCATAAATATAGGAAGACATTCAACAAGCAAATGACAGAGGGTCCACTTCAAATGAAAGAGAGGGAGAGGGCCGGCCCAGTGGCGCACTCAGTAGAGTGCGGCACTTGGGAGTGCGGCGGCGCTCCCGCCGAGGGTCTGGATCCCATATAGAGACCGGTCCGCTCACTGGTTGAGCACGGTGTGGGCGCGACACCGAGGGTTGCGATTCCGTTGCCGGTCACGAAAAAAGACAAAAAGGAAAAAAAAAAAAAAGAAAGAAAGGGAGAAATGGAGAAACAAGCATAGGAGAAAAGAGCTTGAGCTTATAGAAGATAAGCTGAAAATGAGTAGCCAATGCAGGGGGATAACAGTAGATGTGAAGTACAGCATGGGCATTCAGTGCCAGGCAAGTAGAGACAAGTATAGTGGTCTGTAGTTGGGGGGAGTTTGACAACCAGGATCAAGACATGGTCTTTCTTCAATGTTCTGCATTACTCTTACACATACAGAGCAGTTCTTCTTAGTTGCTGGCCCATAGTGAATTTTTATCAGTCCATAATACATGTACTGCCAAAGATCCTTGCTTCTTAAAACATATTCATTTTAAAAATTAACTCTCAACAGACAGGGAATTACACCCCAATACATGTAATTTGTGTGTTGTACTAATGACTTTTGAAAAGAAGGGGAAAAAATTGAATACATGTTTCATTTATTTTTTAAAATTATTAAGATATATATTAAATTACATATGATCATCAATAGTTTTTGTAAAGTATTTAGATATACATCAGACTGCAGTATATCTGAGTTGAGAAACACTGAATCCAATTTTGGTCCACACTTTTAAGAAGGGTGTGTTTTCTCAGAAATAAGAAAAGAGAGAAAAGTGACAGAGGAGATTAAACTTATTGAAAACAAGTCCAATAAGAAGGAAGGAGCTTTTGCAACTGTGAAAAGCAAGGATGAGTGATAATGACTTTCATTATTACGTTTCAGAAGGGTTTTGTACAAGGAATATGCTATTCCACTATTCACCTAAATAAGGAACTGAATAAAAATAAATATGTATAAACGAACTTACGAGAAAGTCTAGTTGTTTAGAAGGAAGAAAATGTGCAAGTTGAACAATGAAATGCTCAGATTGTCTATCTGGAAATTTCCCATGGGAATAAACAACCATCTTTCCCTTTGATTTTGCCATCCACCTGCCTGAAAGCAGATGGCTGTATTCTACCAGGTAATCTTGGGAGGTTATAGATGCAGGAAGATGCCTCTGGCTGCAGAAAATTAAAGTGTCATACAAAGTATTGCTAACATAAAATGAATGACTCAGAATATTCCTAGTGGCCCATGAGGTTGAGCTTCCAAATTATGATTTCTTTGGGAGGACTTGAAGTGGAGTCATGTGACTCACAGCTTTCAGTGATCTGGATTTGATACAGGCCTTGACCATTCAATCTCATGACTTAAAATTGTGCCTCTCCAATAATTAGAGGAAAAGCAACCCCATTTAGACAACTGGAAAAGGGAACAGAACTTTCTGTAAAGTGAGTAGTTGTACGTTTGTCCATTGTCTCTTTGATCTTTGAGGACATCTATCTATTCTTCTCTATGTGAAAAGACTAGAGCTAAGGAATAACAGGTGTTGGAGAATTTGATGGCCCATAACCTGCATTCATGGCCTGCTTCTTACTCAAGAAACAGGATTTTATATCTCATCACTCAAACCTCCATTTTCATTCATAAGTCTCTCCTCCCACCCAATAAAGAAACTTGTTTAGCATACTTTTAACCAAGCTACTATTTATCTTTTTCTACACAACTATATAGAAAAAATATAACATAGTAGGTCTGAGACTGTTACCCTTAGAAAGGCCTATTTGCAAGGTTGGCCCGTGGATGGCATCCGGCAACTTGGATTTCAAGAGGGCTCCCATCATTGTCTAACTGATAAGCATGGTTTAATGTGCCTAAACTGTTTGTACAAACAAGGTGGTTATTGTTGATTTCCTTCTGGAAGTCTGGAATTTTGGTACGTGCCAGGCAGAGGGTGCCTATATGACCAGCTCCCAATATAAATCTTGGGCACTGGGTCTCTAATGGGCTTCCTGGAAGACAACATTCCACACTTTGGTACAATTCAGTGCCAGAGGAAGGAGTTAAGCATGTAGTCCTGGGTGACTACATGGGGAGAGGACTCTCAGAAGCTTGTGCCTGTTTCCTCCGGACTTTGACTTTTCCCTTTGCTGATTTTGCTGTAATGCACACAGCTATGAGTACAACTACGTGCTGAGTCCTGTGAGTCCTCTTAGCAAATCATCAAACCCAGAGGTGGTCTTGGGGACTCTGAACACACATGCTTTGGAGCAGTAGTTCCCAAACATAGCCGATCATAAAACGCAGTAGTGGAGCTTTATAGACAACATATCCCAAAGCCTCGACCCAGACCCTATGAAATCAAGACCTGTATTTTTCGAAGCTCTCCAGATGTTTTTGATGTGAAGCCAGATGGGAAGAAACATACATGCCAGATGTCTTGGTGGAAAAGACAACAGCAGCATGAAAACTATATTTTCAGGGGCAAAAGATAATACAGTGTGTCTGCCACATGGAAGAAAAGAGTCCAACTGAGTATGATTATTGAATATGAATAATGTATAGAGCAGATCAAACGCAAAATGCTTCCTTTATCTCATTGAATCTTCTATGTTAGTGCTGAGAAGGAACAGGACAACTTCTATTCCTGATTTGGCAGCAACATGACAAAAAAAGCATCTGATAATAAATGTGTGGTTGATGAATGAGGCAGGTGTCCAGGGATGCAGCAGTTCTTCGCTGCTATTCCCAATTTTTGAGGTACTAAACTTTAGTTTCAGTTAACTTGAGTTCATGCAAATGAACTAAAAATCTTCATAGAAATGCAAATAGACTACTTGCAACCAAAAAGTTGGTCTTCTGCAATGGGTAGGAGGGGAAGTTGACTTGAATGATGTCTCATAGGTCGCTCTCATGGAGGTCAGGGGCATGACTCCAAAGTCTCATT